CCCGCGTCCCCTGCATTGGCAGGCGGACTCTCAACCACTGCGCCACCAGGGAAGCCCCAATGGTAATTATTTTTAAGTTTACAGAACGTGATCCCTCTTCTCCTTCCTCTCTAGTCACGAAGTCCTTTTTTTTTTTTTTTTGGCCACACCATGCGGCATGCAAGATCTTAGTATCCCAACCAGGGATGGAACCATTGCCCCCTGCATTGGGAGTGCGGAGTCTTAACCACTGGACTGCCAAGGAAGTCTTAAATTCTTTCACTCACTTCATTATTTTAAAATGTCTCCAACATTCAGGCAGTGTGGTATGGTAGGAGTCTTCACTTTGGAGTCAAACACCTGTATGGACTTGGGCAAGTTGCTTAAACTCTAAGCACCTGTTTCCTTACCTATAAAATAGGGATGATACAGTACTTATTTCAAGAGTTCTTGTGAGGCATAAATGAAATAACGCACGTAAAGCTCTCAGTGCCTGGTATACAATAGGCACTCAAATAATTAGTAATAATGTCCACATCACCACTGTCTTAGCCTTCAGGATTTTTTTCCTTACCCCTAGTCTCCCTCTGCTATATCTCAAACATGTCCAGATTAATCTTCAGAAGACCATTTTAATAATATAAAGATCCTCAGTGCTGCTCTAACCTTGCAGGCCAAAAAGCTTAGATGCCTTATATTGTGCTGCAAATCATCTATTGCATTTCTTTTTTTTTTTTTGGCTGCATCGCGTCTTAGCTGTGGTACATGGGATCTTCATTGCGGCACACGGGATCTTTCCTTGCAGCGCACAGGCTTCTCTCTAGTTGTGGCATGCGGGTTTTCTCTCTCTAGTTGTGCCACGCAGGCTTAGTTGCCTCGCAGCATGTGGGATCTTAGTTCCCCGACCAGGGATGGAACTCGCGTCCCCTGCATTGGAAGGCACTGGACCACCAGGCAAGTCCCCATCTATTGGATTTTCTTAAGTTTGTTTCTCACAACTTCCAAAAACACACTGGTTCGTGACACATGTCTTTTCTGTCCTCTAACTTCACCATATTCAATTCTGCTTCTTCCTTTGAATCTGTGCTGTGCTACTCAGTGTGCCCTCTACAATTTTAATTTTTCTAAAACTAATTTCACCTAAGTGAAAGTGGCACCAAGTGCCACTTTCTCCCAGAAGCATTCATCCACACTGAATGTCCATTCCTTTAAAATCCTTTAGAACTTCATATAAACACCACTTAACCATTTGTTTTATAGTATTCTGTACTTTCAAATCAACAGTTTAATTCATTCATTCATTCTTTTTTGTCTGATATGTGCAAGTCACTATATTCATATAACTATGTCTTAGTTATCCAAAGAAAAAACTGCATTTACAGTGTATGGACCTTAATGTCTTAAACATCTCAGTTCCTACACAATTCCTGCTGTAAAGTACAGCATACCCAGACATCAGCTATGTTAAAGCAACACTGTAAGATGTTCTAACTAGATTTTGCTCATTTTAGATACTAGAGCTTTTAAAATTTAAATATGCTCACTGTAGAAGTTATGTGTATTAGTTACCTATTGCTGTGTAACAAATTACTATCTCAGTTTCTGTGGGTCAACAATTTGGGAGTGGCTTAGCTGGATGATTCTAACTCAGGGTCTTTCAGGAGGCTGGAGAGGAATTAGGCTCCACCTTTTGAAGGGAGTGTCAAGGAATTTGAGGACATATTTTAAACCACCAATGTAGGTTTAATTATTGTGTGTTCACTGTAGACAAATTGGAAAATACAGACAAGCCAAAAAAAAAAAAAGGAAGGAAGAAAGAAATCACTATCCAATGGATAACACCACTACTGGGATGTATATAATTACAGCCTTTAAAATATAAAAGAACTTTCTCAAAATACAAACATACTATGTATACTACTTTGTAACCTGCTCTTTCACTTGGTGTTTTGTGAAGATACTTCTCACTTCAGATATTCTTTCACAACATTTTAAATGGCTGCATAGCATTTCATTGTATGTATGTATTATAACTTATTTAACTAATTGTATATTGCAGGACACTTAGGTTATTTCACGTTTTCCCTATTTTATACATTTTGTTAAATCAACATCCTTATGGCTAATTTCTTTCACATTCATGACTTTCTCAAATTCTTAGACATGGAATTTCTGGAACAGAGTTTGCACAGTTTTAAAACTTCTGATATTTACCACCTAATTTCAGTAGAATTTTTATTGCAATCATCAAAAGTCCACTCAGCCAAATATCTGTATCAAATATCTGTAACAATGCCTGCAAGAGTTTGTTGTTCAAATTTTGATCACTGTAATTGCATTTGTTGAGAATGACTGTGATCACTACGGAATAAGTTGGTGTATAAATTTTACTAAAGTGTGAACTTCGGCACACCTAACCCACCAAACTGCAAATGATAGGTAGCAGAATTCTATTTATTTTCAATTCCCACTTTTTTGCTATTCATTTTAACTTTTTACATGTCCTTTTTTTTTGAATAGAGGTAATACATTAACTGTTTCAAAATCCAAGAGAGAGAAAATTTTATCAGTAAAAGTCTCACCCCTGTGCCACTGCCTGAAGGCAACCAGTGTTATCAGCTAAAGATATTTTATGCATGGACACTATGGGCTTTTCTCTCCATTTCACAAACAGCACCCTATATTCAATTCTGCCCCTTGCTTTTTTTCTCTTGACAGTTTACCTTGGAAATCATTTCATATCAATACACAGAAAAACTTCTTTCTTTTTTATAGCTGCATATTGTGTGAATGTGCCATAATTTTTTTTTACCTGTATTCTGCTGACAGGAATTTAGATTGTTTAATCTTTTACTATCACAAAATAACCTTGTACAAACATCTAGTTTTCTCTCTTCAATTTAGGAATTAGTGACTTAGCTAAGTATGATTAAATTGTCTCTGTTCTGGTCTGCATGCCTGTCTGTCCAAAGCTCTGCTCACTCTAAGCCCTTCTGGTGCCAGAATGTTCTTTATGAATAAAGTTCCTTTCTCCCATCTCTTTTTATGAATTATCCAAAGGCGAATACAAAGGCTTATCATTTGTAAACCTTTCATTTCTTTAAAAAGTTCTGTGAAAATAAAACTTTGTTTTTCACAAAAGTTTTTTGCATGATTTACCCCTCAGTTCCACAAACATTCTGCTGTTGCTGGAAAGGCTGTGTTAAACTCTGCTACCTCTGGTGGAAGGGGGAAATTTCTGATTGGCATCCAAGCAGAAATGGAGGTTCTACCTCTGCTTTCTCTCCTCCATAAATCCCACCCCACCCCCAAGGACTGTCCCATGAAGCCCCCCGTGAAATGCCACTAGTTAACTTGTCCCCTACTGCAGAGGCGCTAAAGTGTACTGTTAAAAGCATTTCACACCAAGTATCACTGAAGCACAGATCCTTGGGGCCTTTGCAGTTGCCATTCCCTTTGCCAGGAATGCTCGTACCCTTGATAAACACGAGGCTTGCTTCCGCACTTCCTCAAGGACTCCATTCAAATACTTCCTCTTCAAAGACTCATGCCCTCTCCAACCCCTAACTCCCTACCACCCTTACCCTGCTTTCGCTTCATATCACCACCATCTAATTTATGTAGGTGTTTGTCTCTTGCCTCCCTGAATTTAAACCCCTTGGAGGTAGTCTTATTTCCTGCTCTGTTTCCAGAACCTAGCTAGCACTTGGAGATCAGAACATCTCGCTTAATTATCAGTGAACGAATACCATATCAATTACGGGCACAAATTCTATAATATATGAAAGGGGTTTGAAAATGTATGAAATACATAAATGTAAGGCATTATTACTGTCTGAATTTAACTTTTGTTGACTGGATCCACGGACAAAATACAAGTAGAACCAACTCAGCTCTGTCGACCCCTAAAGTTTTCCGTCTTATTATGTGCCCACATTGTGCCTCAAAAAATATTTACCCAAATGAGTAACTTAATGGTGAGAACGGTTAAGTAACTGGCCCAAGGTCCAGCGACAATCACGCCAGAGCTCTGACTCACTCACTCAAGATTGGAGCTGACCTACCATGTTAATAAGGCAAACGTTTGAAGGTAGTAGCGACGGTCCTTGTGCCCTAGGAAGCAAACAGCTAGCGGTTGTGACTCGCGCTAGGCTCGGAGGACAAGGTCTGCACGACAACCACGGACACTTCCGGTTTTCTAAACAGTCCTGGCGCCGAGCTCCTGACGTAAACCGTGCACGACAAGGCGCCGCCACGACGTCCTGCTCTTCCTGTGACCTTCAGACCCGCGGAGACGTCGGCGAAAGGAAGGCCTCTGCCTGTGCTCTGATTGGCCGCGCGCTGAGTCCAGCCCCGCCTTCCAACTTCCGCTCTCACGCGTCGCAGAAGCAGCCAGGGTTTCCTGCGAGTATTTCGCTTGTAGACCCTGCTTC